CAGGATCGTCTTGGAAATGTCCAGGATCGCTTCCGCGCACATCAGCTCAGCGGACGTGTCTGCCCGGCACAAGGACCGTTCCACAAACTCGCTCCTGGAAGCCGGGCTCACAGGAGGCGGAGCTTTGGTTTCCTTCGGGAGCCTGGGGAAGCGGTCAGTGTCCAGGCCCCCGGGGCCAGGGTCTGTGGTCTTGGCGGCCACTGGCTTCTTCTTGCCGGGTGTTTTCCTGTGGGTCTCGGGCAAGGCACTTTTCGTGGCACTGCTTGTGCTGTGTGCCGGAGGGTCAGGCTGCCTCTCCTCGTGGGGCTGGGCCCTCTGGGACGGGTCCCCGTCCGCCTCCTTGCGTGTTTTCTGCAGCTGGTACAGCTGGATGGCCTCCTCGATGCCGTCGTCGCTGCTGGAGTCAGACACCTCGGGCGCCTGTGCCGCGCTCAGGACTCGCCCTCCCCTCCTTGCGGCGCTGGCGCTCCTCTTGGTCCCGCTTTGATTCTGTGCTGCTTCTGAAGGGCGGCCGGGGGCTGCTGGCTTTGCGCTGCCTTCGTTTTCCTGCGTGGTTGTGACCGTGGACCTGAGGTTTCTGGGCTGCATGTTCATCTTTGCTAACCGCGGAGGTCTGCGGAAGGTGAACTCCTTCTGGGTGCCCATCAGACCCTGCCGATGCACCCCCCTCGCGGCCGGCTCTTGGTGGGATTTCAAGAGTGACTTGGCCGCCAAATTTTCGTTGGGGTCAGGTTTCTTGTCCGCTGACCCGTCACATTTTTGGGTCTCATGCTGTCTCTTCTCGTTTAGAAACTGTTCTATTTCTGCCCTGATGCTTTGCTCAAAGGAGTCATCACTGCTCACGCTGACCGGGGAGGCGGAGCCCTGGTCCTGGCTGGATGCCCCCTGGATGCCAGGGCCACCGCCTGAGCCAGGCGCAAGTTTTGGGGGACCCAGGGCAGTTGGGGCACTGCCATGAGCCGGTTCTGGCTTACATCTACTGCTTCCACCTGAGGCCCTGGAAGGCTGCTGGGCTGCGCCTGGCTGCACCCCGCCGGCCCCGGGCTGTGGGGCACCGCTCTTTGCTTTCAGGTACTCCTGGATGGCCTCCTCAATGTCCCGGTCCACGGAATCATCGCTGTCTGAATCTAGCACCAATGGGCCAAAGTCTGCAGCTGCCTCCTCCCCCATGGGGTCAATGCCAGCCACAAGGCCACAGGCAGCCAAGGCGGGCGGCTCCTTGTGCACGGGGGGCCTGGCTGCCGGCCTGGCGTCGTGGCATCCCTCCGCCCTGTGGCCCCTCTGCGCGGCACGTTCATCGCTGGTGCCCAGAGCAGCCCCGTCACGCTGCAGCGTGGTGATGAGCATCTGCACCCGGGCGCTCACCGCCGCGCTCTCCTCGCCCTCGTCAGCCTCCGAGAAGCACCTGGGGAACCTAAAGCTCCCTGGCGGGCCAAAGCCCTCCCATTTGGACTGGAGAGCAACCACTGGAGGGGCGTTCATGAGAAACATTCTAGCAGGCGGGGAGGGACGCGCAGAGGGGCAACGCTTTATTTCTCTGCCGGCTTCACATCCTGGGAGGAAAGAAAGCACATGGGCGTGATGCAGCAAAGAACAGCTGGCTACCCCAGCCAACAGTAGGAGAGGCCCCAGAGGAGCCGCGTGTCGGGCCCACAGAGTTGAGAGTGGGCCAGCGCCCGACGTCCAGCTAGCTGGGTGTCCTTGTGTGAGTGACACATGCTCCCGGGGCCTCGGGTTCCTCAGCTGGAAAGGATCAATCTACTCGCTCCAGCCCAGGGCTGCTGGGAAGATTCAGTAAGAAAATGTTTCCAACCACCCGCCACGGTGCCGCCCGGGGCGCACACGCAGCACCTCCCCACTCTTCCCTTCTCACTCCGCGCGTCCAGCTTCTCTGTAAGACGGGAGAGGCTTTATTTACCTCCAAAGGTTGGCAAGCGCTACCCATGAGAGAACGTCTGCAAATGCTTCTTTGCAGGTTAAAAAGATGGCTATAAATCCGGGATGAGCAGGGTGGCGTGTGCAGATTCACTCCTGACCCAACCAGCAAGCTCCTGGAACAAAAAGTTATGATGTGAGCCACTCGGAAATTACTTCCCCAAACATCTTGAATCGTTGCTTTGACTAAACCCTCTTTGTGTTAAACATCAGATGTACATTTGCCAGACGGTCTCATGGGACCGTTCTTCCCAGCTAACCAGCACAGAAGTCACCCTGAGCGCCATGGCATGCCCCTTTTCATCCCGTGCTTCCAGATTTCAGACCAAAGGTGGCTGCCTCAGCAGAACTGCTGGGCTGGTCTTGGGACACTCTGAAGACCTGCTCACGAAAGGCCTGGGGATTGCCACTGCAGGGAGGAACTCCAGGTGGACGGCGGTCACTTTGGGACATCACACAGCTATTCATTCTTAACACGTTGCTCTGACCCCCACCTGCCTACCCCAAAATTGGAGTGCAAAGCAGTTCCCATGCAAGCGAGCCCCCAAGGCTGATGGACCAGAACTCCCCTTGGCTCAGAGGCCGTGGCCGCCCTCAGGACCTTGGTGGTGGGAGAAAACCAGCCCGTGTGTTTTGCATCTGTTGTGGATTCTTCTCTACCAGGAGCTTTCTCTGATTAACCAGGCACTTCCTTCCTGACAAGCACGTAATCATCTGTTTACGTGCCATCTTTTCTCAAAGAGGTGAGGCTGCGGCTGGGTGCAGGGGCTCATGCTTATAATCTGGGGAGATTCCCACTTTGGGAGGCTGAAGCAGGTAGATCACCTGAGGTCAGGAGTTTGAGACCAGTCTGACCAATAACATAAAACCCCATCTCTACTAAAAATACAAAAATTAGTCAGGTGTGGTGGAGGGTCCCTGTAATCCCAGCTAATCAGGGGGCTGAGGCAGGAAGGAGAATTGCGTGAACCTGGGAGGCGGAGGTTGCAGTGAGCCGAGATTGTGCCATTGTACTCCAGCCTGGGCAAGGGAGTGAGACTCCATCTCAAAAAAAAAAAAAAAGGTGAGGCTGGCCACCTAGACACAGGTGAGACCGAGAAGGGTAACCGGCGATTAAGCAGGGGGCGAGGCAGATTCAGAAGCCAGTCATTTGCTAGTGCCAATTTGTGCTCTAAAAGGGAAACTAAAATACAATTATTACTTGAAACTCTCTGAGTCCAGATTGACGGGGATGAAGTGGCGGCCAGTGTTCCCACATGCCCAGGGTCAGGTCTTCATCCTTCACTTACACGCCGAGGCACCTTCTCTCTGCTTTTTAAACAGACTTTTAACTACGAGAATCAAAGAGAAGGCATCTAATCAGAGGCTGAAGCTACAGTTCATACATAATTTTTTTGGAAAGAAGTATCATTAACTTAAGGGCTCAAAATTAACTTTTGAAAGAACTTACCCTAAGACATTTAAAACCACAATGCAAATACATTTAATTTAATGCATTAAGACAAACGCATTCAAGCACAAGGAATGTACAACTATCCTGGAAAAAAGTCTGATGCTGCTGAGGTGATGGTGATGGGGCAGGGATGGGAAGTGTCTACCCACTGCTGCCCATGACATCCGGCACAAAGTCACCTTCTGGAGAGATTCCCAATGACACAGAGCACTGGGGACCAACCATGGGGCGGGGCCCTTTCACTGGCTAGCAGACCCATGCCTGCCGTAGTGCAGGCTGTTATTCAAATTGCCTCTGCAAAATGACGTAAATTACAAAACATGTGCATTCTCTTTGGGCTGATAAGTCTCAATCAAGACTATTAACTCCTTTTTTTTTTTTTTTTTAAGATGGAGTTTTGCTCTTATTGCCCAGGCTGGAGTGTAATGGCACGATCTTGGCTCACTGCACCCTCTGCCTCTGCTGGGATTACAGGCCTAAGCCTCTGCACTGGGCCATATTAACTCCTTAAACAGCAATATGACTTTAAGAAAACTGGCCCGGGTAGTGTCTTTGCACTAGATGGCAAGGTGGGGGAGGGGAGTTTTCTGGGGAAATACTCTGTTCTCCACTAGCCTCCTTTACAGCTTCTGCCTGATTGCAGAGAGGGCCGGACTCCTAGGGAACAGTTTTCTAAATTGTCAAATCACCTAGTCCAAGAGAAAAAAAAAAATCTGGCCAGGCACAGTGGCTGACGCCTGTAATCCCAGCACTTTGTGAGGCTGAGGCAGGTAGATCACCTGAGGTCAGGAGTTTGAGACCAGCCTGACCAACATAGAGAAACCCCTTTTCTACTAAAAATACAAAAATTAGCCAGGTGTGCTGGTGCGCGCCTGTAGTCCCAACTACTTGGGAGGCTGAGCCAGGAGAATTGCTTGAACCCAGGAAGCGGAGGTTGCAGTGAGCCGAGATTGAGCCACTGCACTCCAGCGTGGTAGACAGAATGAGACTCCATCTTAAAAAAATAAATAAAATTGAGAGGGGATCGCCCTAGGACGGCCTGTGGCTTTAAAACATTATGCGATATGAGTCATTCTCGAAAAGCCCCCTAGGGCCAGGGACAGTGGTTCAGGCCTGTAATCCTCGCACTTTGGGAGGCCAAGGCAGATGGATCACTCGAGGCCAGGAGTTCAAGACCAGCCTGGCCAACATGGTGAAATCCCATCTCTACTAAAAACACATAAATTAGGTAGGTGTGGTAGCCCACACCTGTAATCCCAGCTACTGGGGGGCTGAGGCATGAGAATTGGTTGAACCGAGAGGCAGAGATCCCACCACTGCACTCCAGCGAGGGCGACAGAGCATGACTGTCTAAGTCACCTAAACTGTACTTAGAGATACGTCTGGGCCCAGCCAGAGGCGCAGGCTTCGTCAAGCTGCTGCCCCAGAATAAAGTCTTGAGGGTGGCCGTGGGGACACCCAGCACCTGCCCCCCAAAGCCACACGGTGTCAGATTTTAGGAAGCAGCAGAAAACACTCCGGCATCTTCTCGGTCTGGACCCCAACCTGCCAGAGAGAATCAAAGCATCCACACTGGGGCCCTCATCCTAACAGTCTGACACCTGTGAGAAACGCCCCCAAATGCTCTACCTTTCTCGGTTGGTCGAAAGGCAGCTCAGCTCGCCTTCTGGCCTCCCAGGTGGGGTTTTACCCCAGGGTAGGGGGGCCAGGGTCGGCAGGCCGGGAGGGGAACCCCGGTACCGGAGCAGGCGGGGCGGCAGGAGGGCCCGCGCCAGCCACCCTGAAGTGGGCGTGGGCTGGAACTCGGCTCCCAGCCTTGCAGAAGCTGCAATTTTACAACCTCACAACCGGCGTCCCCCAGCAAAGCTGCACCGCCATTTCCCGAGCTTGGGAACTGCAGGCAAGGTGAGCCCCTCCCGGCTGCCCCCGCCGGACCTCCCCCGACTCCCGGGCTCGGGCGGCTCACGGCCTGCCGGCTGGGCAGGGTCCCCCACCGCCGCTCCCCTCCCCGGGGGCGCGCGTATCACCCCCGCCGCTACGCTCGGCGACCCGGACCTCGCCCCGCGGGAGCGGACGCCTCCCAGGGAAGAGGCCGGGCATCCAGGCAGGTCTGTGCCCCGGAGTTACGGCTCTGGGATCCGAGGACTCTGGAGCTCGGGGCCCCGGAGAGCGGCCACCCTCCCGGAAGCTCCGCCTGGCGCAGGGCGTGAACCGCAGTCCCCGGGCCGGCCGGGCCGCGGCCATTCTCGGAGGGCAGCGGCCGCCCCGGGCCGGGCCCAGGCTCCCCTGCCACGGGCCTCACCTGCGCCTCACCTGGGGCTCCAGGGGCGCGGGGCGCGCGGACGGAGAGGTGCTCGGAGGCCGGAGCCAGGACCTCCGCCCGGGAACGGAGCAGCCCCGGCGCCGATCCCCGCCCGCCCGCCCGCCCGCCGCGGCCTGCACCGCTCTCCTGTCCCCGGCCTCCCGGCCGCCCAGACCTCCCAAACCCTCGGCCCCGCGCCCGCTCACCTCCGCCAGGCCCCCGCCGCCCGCCGCGCGACCCCGCCTGCGCCCGCGTCCCGCGTCCCGCGTCCCGGGGGAGGCGGCGGGCGGGGGGCGGGTCGGAGGCTGCGGGGCCGGCGCGCTCCGCCCTCGGCCGGGGCGCGGGGAGGGGGCGCAGGGGCGTCCGGCCGGGCCCCCAGGCTCCCCGCCTCCCCGCGCGCCGCCGCCGCCACCGCCCCCGCCCCGCGCCAGGGCCGCACTGTGGGAAGCGAGGGAGGGCAAGGGAGGGGCGGGGCGTGGGGCGGGGCGACCCCCCCAGGCCGCCCCCTCCCCGCGACCTACCGGGCGGCGGCGGCGGCGGCGGCCGCGCTCCGGAAGCCGTGCCCGTGGCTGGGCATCATGGGAATGGCACGGCCGAGTTCCGGGGGAGGCGCGCGGCCCGGCCGGACCCCCGCCCGCGAGAGCGCGCCCACCTGCCGCCGCGCCCGCGCCCCGGGGACGCCCCCACCCGCCCGCTTGGTTCGGACGCGGCCCCCTCCGCGGGGGTGCGGGGCGAAGGCGCTGGGGCCGGGCCCCGCTCGGAGCTGCCCGCCTCCCACGTCGCGGCCGCCTCCGGGGCTGGCGCCGAGGGGGCGCGCGGGGGGCGCGGGGTCGCCGGGAAGTTCTGGGCGCGAGGGGCGTGGCCGTGGGAAAGCGCTCGGGGCCGCGGCCGCGGGTCGAGTTCCTCCCCGAAGTTCTCGCGGGGCAGCGGGCTGAGCACAGCTTTGGGCTGGGGTCGGGGGCGGACTCCGCGTGTCCCCGCTGCTGCCCCACTCGAGCTTGCGGCGGGGAGTGGGCGCGCGGCCTGCCCGGGGAGGCCCGGAGCGGCGGCTCCTCGAACACACACCTGCCACCAGGTTCGGAGGAGGGAACGGTTTTCTAGGAACTGCCCTGGACCTGGAGGCCGCCGCTGTTTCTGCTTCTGCTGTGCACTGGCCATGTGACCTTGAAAGTCTTTCCACTTTTGTTTTTTGAAAGGTCTGGGGTATGTGCCCGAGGTCGGCGGTGGCCCGGGTGCGCTCAGCATCCTCGGGCGGCGGGGGACGGGCAGACCGCACTGGATCCTCCCACGGCGCCCACTCGTGGAAGGGGCAGATGGCATGCTGGACACCGCACTGCTCCTGTGAGCCCCCTGGGCCCTGATCCACACGGATCTGGACGATGAATCTGTGAGTTCGGCCCTCGCCTAGAAAGTGTCGGAGATTTGATAGGACCGAAGTCAGAGATTTGCCTTAGAGGGGTGGTGCTGGTCATACCAGCCTGGGAAGCTGGAGGGCCACTTTTGGGGTCAGGAAACCCTTGAAAGCATTGTTTTAATGCCTTCGTGAATTTTTTCAATAAACAATTTTTTTCTCATAAAGAAATACTCGTGCCTTACCAAACTTTGCGGGAGATGATCTAATTAATAAGGTCACTTCCCAGAGACATGGGCTATTAACGTTTTGGCACGCTGCGTCAAAGTTTTTAAAACAGTGCTGTGATGAACAGCTTTCCTGAGGCATCCTTGGAACGGCTCTGAGCGTTTCCTGGGGGCCAGTCCCTAGCAGAGGCCAGTGGGCCAGACTATGCTGCATTTTGCCAAATGCCCTTCAGAAACGCGGGACCAGCCTGCCGTCCACCCACTGGCGAGCGGGCTGCAGGCTTGCCTGCCCTCTTGCCAGCCCTGAGGCGTGCCATTGCTTTATGTCTGTGGCAATCTGAGGCGAAACAGCCCTTTGCATCACGTTAATCCTAATCTCTTTGACTGCTGGTGATGAACATCTTTTCATTTGATTATTGGCCATTTAGAATGTCGCCTGTCTGTGTTCTTTGCCCATTTTTTATTTTTCTGTTGGGCTGTGTGTCTTTTTCTTAGGGATTCCAGGAGCTTGTTACGGTAAAGAATTTAGCTCTCCTCTGTGCCATTTGCGACTCTGTACGAGAGTGTAAATGCAATGTATGGCCGGGCGCGGGGGCTCACACCTGTAATCCCAGCACTTTGGGAGGCTGAGATGGGTGGATCACCTGCGGTCAGGAGTTCCAGACCAGCCTGGCCACCATGGTGAAACCCCTTCTCTGTTAAAAAATACAAAAATGAGCCGGGTGTGATGGCACACAAATAGTAATCCCAGCTACTCTGGAGGCTTGCTTGAACCCGGGAGGTGAAGGGGCAGTGAGCAGAGATTGTGCCACTGCACTCCCCTGGGCGACAGAACATGACTTTGTCTCAAAAAGTGTTTTGTGCCACAACAGTGCAGTAGCACAGAGCATATTCAGTAGTACAGTATACTCTTGTACATTGCATTTATTTTTCTGTCATTTTTCTTTTGGCTTTGGACTTTGTTTTTTTGTTTGTTCAGCCTTTTTTTGTTGTTTGTTTTTGCTTTGTTTTAAGAGAGAGTCTTACTCTGGGTACCCCTAGGCTGGAGTGTTGTGATGTGATCACAGCTCACTGCAGCCTCGACCTCCCCAGGCTCATGAGATCCTTCCACCTCAGCCTCCGAGGTAGCTGGGACTACAGGTGCATGCCACCATGCCTGGCTAATTTTTGTTTTTTTGGGGGGCTTTGCCATGTTGCCCATGCTGGTGTTGAACTCCTGGACTTGAGGGATCCATCCTCCTTGGCTTCCCAAAGTGTTGGGATTACAGGTGTGAGCTACTACTGTGTCCGGCTATGCACAGGGTTTAAAGTTCTTCTGTAGCTAAATGTATCAAGTTCTCTTTTGCGGTTTCTGGCTTTGGGGTGAGGCCTGGGATAGCTTTTGCCACTCTAAGATTTCATAATCATTCACTGATTCAATGCCTGCATTCCACAGTAAGAGAATGGAGGTATGGAGGGGTGGCCTAGGGCTTTCGGGGGTTCCTGGGCCAGAGTGTGTGGCATGTCATAAACAGTTTCTCAAAATGGGGAGTGCTGTTACTCTTTTTTTGAAGCTACTGACCTTCAGAGATGGTTGTTTGGTGCTTTTTATTAAACTTCTAGGAGGCCTCAACAGTGCTTTGTGACCTTCATCAGGGGAACAAGGAGACGCCCCCGTCATTGTCAGACTCTCCTGTTGTGAGCGGTGCTGGCCTTGGCCTTGGGACCACCCCGCCCCCAAGTCAGGCTCCTCACTGTGCAGTCTGTGCCTCCTGGGGTCAGCACACGAGGTCACCTTCAGTATCCACCATGGAGGAAGTGAGGACTCCTGGTGTCTGTCCACCCAGCGCAGGGCTCCATGGGTGTGTGGGCTGTGGCGGCAGGGACAGGTTCGGTGGGCTCTGGGGTCCCTGCCTGGCTGTTGCTCCCCTCCGGGCCTCTGCTTGTCCTTCTGTGAAGGGTACAAAGAGTCCAGGGGGGACCGTCTCAGGGTCACTCTCCATGTGGAGTAGGGAGACCACCAGGGAGGAATGGCCGAGTGCCCACTGGGGGCCAAAGTCCGCTCTCATGAGGAAAGCCAGCAGTCCCTCTGCTGCTCTCTTCCTTTACAGAATCACTGACGTTGTCATAATTAAAGAAAACTCAGAGACCTGGTTCGGTGGCTCACGACTGTAATCCCAGCACTTTGGGAGGCCGAGGCGGGTGGATGGCCTAAGATCAGGAGTTCGAGACCAGCTCAGCCAGCATGGCAAAACCCTGTCTGTACTTAAAATACAAAAATTAGCTGGGTGTGGGGTGCTGCATGCCTGTAATCCCAGCTCTCAGGAGGCTGAGGCAGGAGAATCGCTTGAACCTGGGATGGAAGACTGTCTCAAAACAAAAACAAAGAAACTCACCTGAAAGAAGGCAGCGTTTCCCCCCCAGATGAGGAAGCTCCATGGTCCCCTGGGAGGACTCAAGGATGCAGGAGCCCCAGACCCTGCTGGCGGGAGGGCACCGTGTCTGTGCCCTGATGGGTCTGTTAACTATAAAATGCAGGTCACATTTGCATGGTGACCACATGCTTAGCCCTTGGTCCTGAAGTTACCAGCACACAGCTCATCCAGGTGCGCACCCACAAAGACTGCTCCTCCCCTGTCAAAGCAGAACCCCCTAACTGACCTGGTGGGGCGGGGGGAGAGGGAAGTGAACCGTGGTGCCTCCGGCATTGCTTGCCCTCTGCGGAAGGGAGGTGGGTCCATGTGCCCCAGTGTGGAAGGAGTCCAGGGAGCACAAGAAAGTGGAAAAAGCTTGCAGCAGAATGATGTAAAGTGTCACCGGGTGCACCTTCAGAAGCAGGGTGGGGGTGGCAGAACTGCACGCCGCCTGGCAGAAAATGCCTGCGGATGCCAGGACCTGTGTGAGTGGCCTGAGGGAGGGCCAGCAAGTCGGGGAGGGAATGTTTGGGAGTTGTCTTCTTTTTTTTTTTTTTTGAGACGGAGTTTCACTCTTGTTGCCCAGGCTGGAGCGCAATGATGTGATCTCAGCTCACCACAACCTCTACCTC